ATGCGTGGCGCAGATCCGAAAGGGACTAATCAACGTCGGACTTTACATTATTTCCAACTCGCCTGTATTGGAGATACACCGTTGCAACATTTTAATATGACCATGTTCGTAATTCCGATATCTGGAGCGTGGATGGTCTGAAACATTCCACTTCAGTACTGAATGCTGCGGTTGAAGCCTCTCCCCCTCCCCGTAAACGTACATGTTTAAGTTCTTCCGGTGTTATCGCGTTGATACCAGAGGCAAGTTTCTTTGCGTTGGCATGGTCTCTTTTTATGGTATCCTCTGCTTTGTCAAGGGCAACATGTGCTGCAGCCGCTAGTACACCAGCTTGTCGCCATCCACCACCCACTGCCTGAAATATAGCGATATAGGTTGGAGGGATAAGGGGCAACAACGTCTGACAGTGAGCAATTCTGTGGGGATTGCGTTCGGTTGTGATCGGTATCCATTTTTTACGTTAGCAGCTGGCTACAAAAATCGTAGAGTATCGACGCGGTTGACGAAATATGCTTGAATGCCCAAATATGGACCCGTGTTTAAGACCAGGGCAACCGTCTGTTGGTAATCAACAAGTGAACGGTTTTATTTGTTTTTTGGAAGATAAGGTTGTATTTCATATCACATTCACCATTAAGCCCGAATGTGTAGGGGATCGTAGACGCGAAAGAAAAGGGCTTGGTGGGCTTTCTACTGGTGAGGGATTGAAAATCAGTAGAATATGTCATCTCAACAGTTATATCAAGCCCCTCCACTTCCCCTCCTAATTACCATAGCAATAGTAGAAGTGGTGAACTTGATGGGATGGTGGGTAGGGGGTCAAATTTTGTCCAACATTGAGCTTGGCCCTGGCTGACCATAATATAGCGGGCTGACACTGGAAAAGTTAGACAGAATCTTAGGAAGAAATCCTTCTAGGCCCGATTTAAAGGTAGTTTCCACGCCAGACTAGAACATTCTTATAAGGCGCTGTGGTCCCTCTATTGGTGGGTCCCTCACCTTTGGCGTACAAAGACGAGGGATACACTGAAGGGTGCAGCGGACATACATTGTGTAACGAACCCTTTTTCGGTCCAACAGTCTAGTAAAAGACTCCACCCGTATGCTTGGAGTGAAATGGAATGTTCAATTCCTTCTTGCGCTTGTTCTGGACCACCTACATGAACATATCCGTAGAGATGCGGCAATGAGCGAATGTGGGCTCCATTTTTAGATAAAAATCGTCTGAGCGGCGTTAGTGAAACGAAATAGATGACCGCTATTATATCCCTATGATATAGGGGAGGCATGTCTTCGTGTCGTGCAAGAAAGTATAGCAAACCTTCCGACTTCGCCTAGCCTTGTCGATGAACGTTTTCGATCCAACAAGTATTGAACCGACCGGTGCACCAAGACCTTTCGAGAAGCACATCATAACCGAATCCGCGTACTGAGCGATGTCGCGTACCTAAAAAATTCAGACATAAGATGGAACAAAATACGGTGACGTGGCGACAAGTGATGTCATTATTGGAATCAAATCTAGCCCAGCCCATTCGAGGTCACCATCAGGCGAAATGGTTTCTAGATTAGACTACAGGTAGATAAAGGCTTATCTAGCTTCATTAAGCCTGCTGCTTTTACATCAGCTGACCAGCAAGTCATTATGTGAGACAAGTACCGGCAGCTTCATGCTTACATTCAACAAAGGGGGAGCGTGTGACAAGTTGCAGACCATTGGCAATGAGCACATTTATACCACCACTGCGATCGAATAGTGTTGAAATGTTCATTACGCGTCTGATGCGCATTCAAACACCGCTGCGAATCGGATGTAAGTCGAATGTGTGGCGCGTTGCAACGCCGCTCCAGTCAACGTCGGACATTTCAAAACCAAGAGAACCAGATACGATTTTGAGTATGGATCATCAAAAGGTCAGCATACTCATAAAATTCGGAAGAAAACTAATGTGAAGCAAGCCCGACATTTTGAGGGAATCAACATGTGAAGAAAGGCTAGAATTTTGGAGCGTAAGTGAAGGGAGGGCGGAAGTGGTGTAGTGGCAAGTGGCACGCTTACCACGCGAGCGGTCCGGGGATCAAATCCTGGGTCGTGAGTCGCCCGGGCCAACCAAGCCTTCCATCCCTCCGGGGTCGGTTAATTGGTACCGG